TCTTTGTGACCCTTTTTGGGTCCATGTGGACATCTCAACCCTGCATGGCTGCCCAGGTCTGGGAGCAGAGATTTGATGTGTCCCTGTGTTGGGACACTCAGAGCAGCACAGTGTCCTCACCCTTCTCCTCTCTCCACAGGTTGTTGGCACCAGGCTACACCGAGACTCACTACACCACGGATGGACACCCCGTGATGGTGACCCCCAACCACACGGTGGGTACCAGGGGATGGTTGTAGCTCATCTTTGTTATTTTCAGGATGCCCCAGCACTTGGGATGAAGCCAAAGCCCCTCCTGGCAGCTTCCCCGGCGCCTGTGGCGGGAGGAATGCGGCAGCACGCGGCTCCTGTATCTCTTGGCCGCCGTACAACACCTCGGGAAATAAACACAAGGCAGCGCCAGGCTCCAGCAGCCCTCGCTCTCCCCAGCATTCCCCCACCGGCCACTTGTCACCTTTCCAGCACTCTGAGTCCTGTCTGTGTCCCTGGCTGAACCTCTGGAGCTGGCAGCGTCCTGGCTCCATCCATCCTGTTCCCCGGTGCAGAGGGAACCACCCGCCTGGCTGGGAAATGCAGAACAGGGGGTTTAGGGGTTTTTTTGGGGGATGAGAACATGGGGTTTGTTGCTGTCCAGCCCTGCGTGGTGGTTTCTAACCAAGGAGTCCATTGTCTCTCTTCCAGGACCACTGTAACTACCATGGGTATGTCCGGGGCTACAGCGGCTCTTGGGTTGTCCTCAGCACCTGCTTGGGAATGCGGTAAGAAGAGGTGTGGGGCACGGGGGGGTTGTGGGGCTGATGAAGAGGGGAAGGGATCCGTCTTCCCCCTTCCTTTCTGCAGGGACCTTCTGGAGCATCACCCATGGTCCTGCAAACCCAGCTTAGATACTTCATGAGACTGATTTTCCATTGCTCCTCTTCTCCCATCCTTCACCTGACCCTGGAGAGAACATTTCTCTGGCAGCATGAGCTGCCTTCAAGGAAATTCATCTCTGGAGGAGGCGAGACCCCACACCCTGCAGTGGGTACCCCAGAACTGAGCTTTGCCCTGTCACAGAAACACAGAACTGCCCAGATTGGAAAAGCCCTTTAAGATCATCGAGTCCAACCATGAACCCAACACTGACAAGTCCCCTATGACTAACCCATGTCCCTCAGCACTGTGTCTACATGACTCTTCAATCCCTCCAGGGATGGGGACTCCACCACTGCCCTGGACAACCCCTTCCAATGCCTGACAACCCTTGCAGCAAAGAAATTCTTCCTCACATCCAATCTCAACTGCCCTTGGTGCAACTGGAGGCCATTTCCTCTTGTCCTGTCCCTTGGTCCTTGGTTGAACAGACCCACCCCCACCTCTCTCCACCCTCCTCCAAGGGACTTGGACAGAGACACAAGGTCTCCCCTCAGCCTCCTTTTCTCCAGGCTCAACACCCCCAGTTCCCTCAGCCACAAGGGAACTCAGCACACTTGTGCTCCAGACCCTTCCCCAGCTCCGTTGCCCTTCTCTGGACACGCTCCAGCACCTCCATGTCCTTCTTGGACTCAGGGGCCCAACATTGAACCCAGCACTCCAGCTGCGGCCTCACCAGTGCCCAGTGTCTATTGCAACCCCCAGCTGCCACCCCATGTTTGGTTGGTCTGACCAGCCCAGAGGTTTTAATGCTGAGGGTGTGTTAGTTCACAGGGTGGTGCTGACAGAGACACCCATCTCTTGTCTCTACCCCACCCTGGGTGTGGACCAAGCTGAGGTGTAGAGAGTTTGTGGGGCCTCAGCAGGGGGTGGGGGAGTGGAGTGAAGATGCCACAGGATACATCAGAGGTTGCTCTCCATTGCCAGGGGCCTGATAGTGCTGAGCAGCAACACCAGCTACTACTTGAAACCCCTGGGGACCCCTGAGATGGGCCACCATGTCATCCACCGAGCAGAGCACTTGCCCATCCGAGGTGGGACCTGTGGCCATGGTGACGATTTCGGGAGCACCATTGCTGACATCGCTCAGCTCTTCCAGCCAGTGCACCACCGGGTAAATCCATCCTGGGGTCTTCTGCTCATGGAGGGGTGGGGTGCTGGGAGTGGGGCTGTCTGTGCTCCTGCTAAATGATGGAGTGCCCATCACCCTGGCATCTGGGCAGGGTTGTTCAGGTAGATGTGACATGAGGGGTCTGCATGGGCAGGTTACCTGGTTTGAGTTTGGACAGGAGACCTCAAAGGGAGGATGTGTGGGTTGGGTCCTGGTGCTGTGTTGTATGGTGTGGGACATGATGTGAGGTGACATTGGGACTGTAACCACTCAAATTTTCCTTGTTGCCTCGTGCCTCAGTTTCCCCGCTCAATTGTCCTTCCTGAGCAGCTCTGTGGTATCTGGGAAGCCTGAGATGCCCAGAGCTTTGGGCTGCCCACTCCTTCACTGCTCTGAGCCTTGCTGTCTGTCTTGTAGGCGAAAAGAGATGCCTGGAGGACCATGAAGTACATGGAGCTCTTCATCGTTGCTGATCACACACTGGTGAGTGCTGTGGGGGGCAGAAACCTGGTCCCCCATGGAAAAACTGAGACCTATCTCTGTCTCCCTCCTTGCTCTTCCTCTGGTGACCCTTCCCCATCTCCATCTCTCTGTAGTACAGGAACCAGAACCTCAACCTGGGCCACACCAAGCAGCGCATCGTGGAGATTGCAAACTACGTGGACAAGGTAACGACCAGTGAGAAGAACTTGCTGGTCCCTTTTGACCATCTCCATCATTCCCAGTACATGGGAAAGCAGCTGAGCTCGGGGCCAACCTGGTGATGGCCCTCAGGGACTGTCCTCATGTCACTAGGAGTTTAGATGGCAGATGGGAGCACACGGTGGAAAATGCTTTGCCACCCATCAGCATGTGCCAGCTGTTGCTCTGCTGTGGTAGTGGGGGTCACCTGGCATCCTTGACCCAAGCAGTGACATGTTTAGGCATTGTCAGCTGATGGACAGCCTCATGCCACCCTGACTGCCTCCTGTGCCCATGCCTGGGCCTGTAGAGCTCATGCTTGCAGATGGATTTGGGATGAGTGTGTCTCCAAGTCACCCAGCTGAAGGTGAAGCATGGAGACCCACCAACTGAAACCCCATGGCTGGGTTAGAGGATCTACAGTGAATGCCAATCCCTGTCCCCTCCATCCCTGTCCCCTCCCTGCAGTTTTACAGGTCGCTGAATATCAAGGTGGCCCTGATTGGTCTGGAGGTGTGGACGGAGCGGGACCAGTGCGCTGTCACCAGCGATGCCAACGCCACGCTATGGGCCTTCCTGCAGTGGAAGAAGGCGCTGAGGTCACGCAAGAAGCATGACAACGCCCAGCTGCTGACGTGAGCACCCTTATGGACCCAGGGATATTAGGGTAGGGGGCTTCCAGCCCAGTCTGAGGTCTCCAAACCATCCCTGGGGTGGTAACTACCCCATTGTTCTCCTTTCTGGGCAGAGGGAAGACGTTCAGGGGGACAACCATCGGCATGGCCCCGCTGGAGGGAATGTGCAGTGCAGATAACTCTGGAGGTGTCAGCGTGGTAAGAGGGGCATGAGGGTCCCCACTTCTCCTCCCAGGCTGGAGGACCCCATTGCCACCCACCCTGTCCTGCTGGGGTTCTTCATGGGCTTGGAGGACCTGCTATCTGGGGTTGGTGCTGGGATGCAGCCTGAGAGCGAACGATGATGCTGGTAGCTCCTTCCCCCTCTCAGATGTTGGCCAAGTACTAAGAAGGGTGAGAAAGGGCTGGTTTAAAGGTCTCCTGCCCCATCTGCATCCCCAGCTTGCAGCTAGGAACAGCATCAGGGTCTCCTGCGTTGCTTCTGCCCCTCATTAATACCCTCTGCTTGTTCCCTGCTTGTGCCCTCTGGTTTTGTAGGGTCATCTCCACCTCAGATAACTCTTATCCTTCTCCTGATGGGGTGATGGTGGCCCTGGTGACCTGTGGTCCCTAGGTAGGGTGGTGATGTGAGGCACTGAGGTTTCTGGGATGTCCCTTCCAAGGCCTTAGGTTTTCAGCAGTTGAGTCCAGCAAAAGAACTTCCCAACAGTCCCCTGCAGGACTTCTAGGAGACCAAACCCCATTTCTGCTATGAATCCTCCTCCATCCCTCTCTCCCTCCCTCCCACGGGATCCAGTTGCAATCCCAGGGATGTTGTGGTCTCTCCATTACTCCATCCCCATGCCTTGCTGTGGGATCACCTCTCTCCATCACTCCTGGCTACTGTGCTGACGTATCTCCCACCCCGATGCAGGACCACTCGGAACAGCCCATTGGAGCAGCTGCCACGATGGCCCATGAAATTGGCCACAATTTTGGCATGAGCCACGACAGCGTGGGCTGCTGTGTGGAGGCCACCCCGGAGCAAGGTGGCTGTGTCATGGCAGGAGCCACTGGGTAAGTGGTGATGGAGGGGACGGTGTTGTTGGTCTCTGAGGGGTAGCAGCCCCATCCCAGAAGAGAGAGGGATGGAAGCAAATGGATGTTTTCTAGTAGACACATACCAGGAATCCAAGGCATTCTCCTGTGCTGACCACACCTCAGCACAAGGGAATTGTTCTTTAGTGTAAGACCTGAATATAATAAAGCCTGGAGAAAAGGAGGCTGAGGGGAGACCTTGTGTCTCTGTCCAAGTCCCTTGGAGGAGGGTGGAGAGAGGTGGGGGTGGGTCTGTTCAACCAAGGACCAAGGGACAGGACAAGAGGAAATGGGCTCCAGTTGTGCCCAGGGCAGTTGAGATGGGATGTGAGGAAGAATTTCTTTGCTGCAAGGGTTGTCAGGCATTGGAAGGGGTTGTCCAGGGCAGTGGTGGAGTCCCCATCCCTGGAGGGGTTGAAGAGTCGTGTAGACACAGTGCTGAGGGACATGGGTTAGTCATAGGGGACTTGTCAGTGTTGGGTTCATGGTTGGACTCGATGAGCTTAAAGGGCTTTTCCCATCTGGGCAATTCTGGGATTCTGTGATTTTGAAGACCAAGGGATGCCCAGTCCCCAGCCATGGCACTATTGTGGGACTGTGGTGGGGTGAACACACATCCCTCACTTACCTCAGTCCCACTACATCTGGCTGTGGGATGCTCCAGAGTGGCAGTCTGTAGCTTTCATGCTCTCTGACATCCCTTCAGGGTTTGTTTTCCTTTGCTTTCCCCTTTCATTTCACCCAAAGCTGTAGGAAATTCAGCTGCTTGGTGTCACTTTCCCTCTCAAGGTCCTTCTCCCGTTGAGTTCTCCAGCTCCTGACAATACAGGTTCCTCTGCACTGCAACAAAGCAGCTGTTTATTCCCAATTAATTGAACCCACCCACTCTTCCAATTAATAAATAAATCAAAACCCACCATGTGGTTTCAGGGTGTCTCCAGCCTTGGTTTCCTGTGGGACCTGACCCCACAAGGTTTAATCTCTGCCTAGGTAGATTGTGATGGAGAAAAGCCCCAATTTTCCAGGATGAAGCAGTTTTGCACTTTTTAATTTAGTTATCCTGCTAATTAATTATCCTGTCCCCACCCACCAGAGCTGGATGCACTGGTGCAAAGCAATAGCAGATGCTGTAGCTCAGCCATGCCCATGCTCACCCCACAGGCAACCCTCTCTGAGCTGACATCTCCCCGTGACATTTCTTCCTTCTTAATTTTGCTGAAATTGCTGATTTTTTTTTCCTCACGTGGGCAGGAAAGTCATCTTTGATTGTCTCCAACCTGTCCCTATTTCCACGTTCATGTAGCAACTGATGGGTGTATTTAGTTACTCACCCTCCCAGAACTTGACCTCCAACTCAAGAGATTTCCCCTAAACTTCAAAATTACTTTTCAAAAAAGCCCTCTGTGTCATCTCGGAAATGAGATGTTTTAATATGAAATAAAATGTTTGGTTCTTGGGGTTTTTTTTTTAGCTCTAAGGGGAAATGAAACCAGCACTGAAGCGTGGAGTTGTGTGCTCAGTTCTTCTTCCTCCTTTTTAACCCATCATACACAAAACCCCACAAACTTGTGTGAAATTATGGAAGAACCGTGCTCAGAGCTTCTCTAAAAAATCAGAATTTCTCTCCAGCTCCTTCTTGAAAGGCCATTTGGGCCGTTAGAGAAATGACCTCACATCTTGTAGGCTCTTGATTTTCTTTATTTGCTGCTCAGGTTTTGTGGGTGATTTAATATGGGAGGTTTTTTTGTGTTTCTTTTCCATTTTTCTTTCATTTTTAGTAGATTTTTCTCCATCGTAGAATCATAGAATGGTTTGGGTTGGAAGGGACCTTAAAGCTCATCCAGTCCCACCCCCCCTGCCAGCAGCAGGGACCCCTTCCACTAGACCAGGTTGCTCAAAGCCTCATCCAACCTGGCCTTCAACACTTCCAGGGAGGAGCAGCCACAACTTCCTTGGGCAACCTGTTCCAGTGTCTGACCACCCTCACAGTGAAGAACTTCTTCCTAATATCTCATCTAAACCTCCCCTCTTTCAGCTTAAACCCATTTCCCCTTGTTTTGTCATTAACTGCCCTTATGAAAAGTCCTTCCCCAGCTTTCTTGTAGCCCCTTCAGGTACTGGAAGTTGCTATAAGATCTCCCCGGAGATCTTAGCCTCAGAGATATTTAAATTAAACCCCAAATGGGTTATTTCCCGTCAGTGCTTTGGTGACACCATACACATCCTGAGCAGATAAGTCATTGCAGATGTGGAGATCTGCCTTGTGGTTAGGATGGGGTGGGGTCTGTGGTGTCCCAGGTGCAGAGGACCAAGGCACGGAGGTGACACCCACACCAGCATTGAGCTGGCAGAGCCTGCAGGCGTGGCTCCTCTTTGGGCTTTGAGGTTCAGACCATGGGGGTCTCCAGTCTCCAAGAGGTTTCTTGCTGGAGGGTTGGTGCTCTGGAGGTGACACCCACACCAGCATTGAGGTGGCAGAGCCTGCAGGCATGGCTGCTCCTTGGGCTTTGAGGTTCAGACCATGGGGGTCTCCAATCTCCAAGAGGTTTTTTGCTGGAGGGTTGATGTTCTGGAGGTGACATGTAGCAGCTCTGCTCATCCACCCCATCCCATCTAGAAAATATTTGGGCTCAGTGTGGTGTCCCCTCATTGTTAATCTGATGCTCAGATGCATGAATTGGGGTGGGGGATGTTCATGGTCTTGATGCATCGGTGGCTTCTACTCTTGGAAGGGTTTGTGCCAGTTTGCCCATGTCCTTGTTTCCCAGCTCTGACTGTGGTTTTCCACCTTCTCCTGGTCCCGATCGCTCTGGTTCCCATCCCTCCCCATCTGTCCCCTGCGCAGACACCCCTTCCCTCGCGTCTTCAGCTCCTGCAGCAAGAGGCAACTGGAGAGCTACTTCCAGAAGGGAGGTGGCATGTGTCTCTTCAACCTGCCTGACACCAAGGATCTCGTGGTGGGACGGAAATGTGGCAATGGCTTTCTGGAGGAAGGAGAAGACTGTGACTGCGGGGAGGTGGAGGTATGGTGCTGGATTGTGTTCCCACAGAGGCTTTTGCAGCTAGCTCAGCTGCTGCTTGGCAGGACATGGACCATGTGGAGAGGGGTATTTCCAAGGAAGGGGGTTTGCTAGTCACCAGAGGGACCCATCTCAAGGGCTTTTCCTAGTCCCACCATCCTAAATTCATTTAACCTGGGTCTGGGCTACCTAGGGAAGTGGTGGAGTCCCCATCCCTGGAGGGATTTAAAAGATGGGTAGATGAGGTGCTCAGAGATATGGTTTAGTAGTGGACAGTTACGGTTGGACCCGATGATCTCAAAGGTCTTTTCCAACCAAATGACTCTATGATTCTTGACTTTGCCCTAGAGTGCTCAGGTCTTCCTCATCCCTCCCTGTGCCTCAGTTTCCCCATTGGCAAAATGAGAAGAGCAATGCTGTGATGGGTGGAGAAGGAGCCTGGGGGCAGCAATGGGGAAGGAATGGACTCATTGACCATGGTGGTGTCTTCTCCTTCTCCCTACGTAGGAGTGCACCAACCCATGTTGCAATGCACACAACTGCACGCTGAAGGTGGGGGCCCAATGTGCCCACGGTGACTGCTGCCAGAACTGCAAGGTGAGCCCCTCATCGTGTCCCTCATCATCCCCACCCACCCACCCATGGGCTGAGCAGGGAGATATGGTCCCACCATTCCCTTGGGACTCATGTTCTGCATGTTCATAAGGTCAAACCACTTATGGTTATGTGCAAACTTGTGTCTGCAGGAGAATCTCTGCTGGCTACTTTGTGGCTGAGGGCCAGCCC